CCACTTCACTGGCTACACATGGAGCCTAAAAATGAATACTCTCCTAGTAATCGAAAACGAACGTCCGTTCTGATATTTGAATAACCGTGCCCATCCCTAGTCTAATTGCCCCCTTCTCTGCCCCTAACAGTGAGAGACACACATGACAGATCCAACTGAAACGTAGCCTACCAGTATTGAAACTCTCTGCACGGCATCTGTACCCAGTGGCCACTGCATGCAGAAGTGTGTGCTTGGGGCTGGAGAATTTTCAGAGATTAAAATGTATGAAATTAGCTAGTTTGATGTGCATTACATTTAAAATTAAAACATTGAAAAGAGACTTAAAATAAAATAAAAAGTAAATCATCAAATAAAATCCCCCAGTGTTTTTCACTAGCGCCAGCTGTCGGCTATACAGACGATTACAGACCAATTTTCAGCCACCTACATTGTCCACTTAAATGAACTACACTACTTTTCAATTCGCTAGTCAAAAAAAGTCTGCCGAGCCCTCTCCCGCTAGATTGAAGGATATCCATCTTCTAGCAATCTATTGATAGGAGGAACAGGCGCCTGTCAGTCACAAAGTGAGAGATGACAGGTAAACACTGCTGGTTTGACAGTCTGCTGTCTGTTCCATCTCTTGGTACCTGGATGTGTGTGTTGTGTGCGTGTGTTGTGTGCGCTGTGGTTGCAGTCAAAATGCTCATATAATGTGGTTATCGATGTGTTTTCTGGCACATTAATTTATTTTATTTTGCGTGCAGGGTCCGACATTAACGACGGCCCGCTGGCCCAGGGCCAGTAAAAATGTGGGGCCAGTAACTTTTCAGCGCATTTCAGTTCAACATTTACCTGCTCTGTCACAGTCTACCATTGAAAACCATAGCATTTTTGCTATTTGTATTTGAGCATTATGATTGGCCATTCATTCAAGCACTACCACGCTCCCGCGAGTCACAACTTCTCGAGCACCCGAGCAGTACATGAGTTGGTGCCTTCACACAGCACATGCGAACTGTTCAGAGCGAAAATAAGATTTATTTTAGGGAAAGTGATTTACAAAAGTAAACCTTCAATAGTGAACATACTAGCAATATGCTGGCTACTGTTGATACGTAGTCTGCAAAAAAGAAAGCTACAAAAAGACATAGCATTCATCTTGGCTAGCCATGTCGATGTCTCTTTTGTCTTAAAGGGACAGCGTCCGATTTTCAAATCTTCTCAAAAGGACATACTTTAGAAACAAAAATTTATGCAATTAATACAATGCAATGCTAAAGAATAGAGTAATGACTTGCATTGCTAAATTATATTACACAGGTTTTTAATACATATCATAGTAACCAAATATAGCCGAATATAGAGAAAAAGCATGCCAACCTATAGGCCCTGCAAGACCCCAAATCATTTAAGAACTACACCATGTCCGGGCCAGTAGAAATTCTGTTCGGGCCAGTAGATTTTTGTCCAACTGGCCCAACCGGGCCAGTGAGTAAAAAAGTTCACGTTGGACCCCGGCGTGTTTCATATGCAGCGATGGAGTTCTACGTCAATGGTATCGCATCGGGACAAGTAAACTAAAGATCTCGTTTGTATTTTTGATATGAAGTCCATCAGGACTAGCCAGACAGTGACGTTACAGTGAGTGACTCGTCAGTAGCTTACCGAATCGCATCGGTAAGAGAGCTCTTAATTTGGCTCCCTAATTTGCATACTGGAAGGCTTTTTGGCAATTAACTGCAGATAAATTATGAAAGCATTTGATGAAGATGGTGAATCCTCCTCACTGCAGGAACAATAGGTATGTTAGTGGAGAGACAGCCTCACTCTGGAAAACCGATTGAATTGTTTTAAAAGCGAATGATACTTATATGGTATTTTCAAAGACATTGATATAGGTCTACTGATTTAATCACAGTGTTGACAATGGAGTAGTGAACTGCTGCTTTCTGTGCCTCTTAAAATGAAGTTTGAAGCCTGTGGAAGTCAGCAGACTCTTACATGATTCTTTAAATGCCCAGTGCAGTCCAGTTTTGTTTTGCATGTGTTTTATATCACATTGTACAACAGCTGATGAAACTAACACCGACTGTAAAAGTGTGAAACAATTGGATCAGGGTTATTTCCTGATAGTTGCTGGTTCAAAATACAATCTAGCATTAGAATATACCAGAGGCCACCAAAATAGAGCTAGTTCGGTAAAAATATATTAACCAATCCCCCCAGCCCAGGGGAGCCTGGCTAACTACTTTTTCGATTTGGCTGGCTACTCAATGTGCTTGTGAAAAACGCTGATCCCCCGAGCTGTCAGGGCACTTTCATAGGAGGGCAAAAGGGCAGCTGCTCGGGCACTGGTTGAGCCCTATTTGTGCATGTGCCTGGTGTGCGGAGTGTTACCTTGATATGTCTCCCCAGTACCACTCTGCTTCCTGTAGCGACCCCCCAGCCCCCTCCTTCACACCGTTGCTGCTGCTCACTGGAGTCATGGGCTTGGCCGGCTTGGGAGGAAGAGCTGCAGAGAAACAAAGAAGGGAAGAGAGAAAGACAGAGGGTTAATGGCAACAAAATAACAAAGAAATGCTTCTACATGTATGAGGTGTACTGACATGACAGTGGACCTGAAGCTTGTAGGAAACAGTCTTCCTGTCCTGTCATTCCTCCTTTCTGCACCTCTACTTCTGGCCTGAGTTCATTCCTTCATCCCTCCATCCCCCTGGCTTAGATGATGTCTCAATCGGCCATACTGGCCATGCTTCGCCTCCCTCCCATTCAGCGCGGTTGTTAATAATTTACCAAGAAGAGACCTCCCTCACAGCATTTGGAATCTAGAGATGCCGTGAGAATACTAATCGGAGGATAAGTAGCAGGAAACAGAGCTGGGCTGGGCTGGTTAGATCCCCCTCACCCCGGTTAACAGTAGAGAGAGGTGGACATACGTCTAGGCTGCTAGTAGAGGGACCTTGAGGGTCAGGGAGGGGTGAGATAGGGAGTAGAGGGTAGGGGCGAGACATGCCACATGCCAGGTGCAGCAGAGAAGAAAAGTGTAATAACATTGCTAGCTTTAGGGGAAAATAAGCCCTCACCTCCTCCCTTTACCCCCTCTAGCCCAACAGTAGTTACAGTGTTCATATGAAAACTCCAAGCCAAGCATAACTAACCTGCCCCTGACCCAGACACCCTACTCAGCACCCACAACCACACACATACACACAGGCGCGCGCGCACACACACACACATATATGTGTACCCACTCTTCAGTCAAGAGAGTCACTGACTTTAGAGAGTGCCCTTTCAGAGAGCACACACAACAAAGAGCAGTGTGTGTGTGTGCGAGCGGGCGCGTGCGTTTCATCTTTCATTCAGGGGTCTCCCCTGGCTCTCTGGCGGCCTCTAGAATGTTTTGTCTGTCCCTCTCTAGAACATTCAGGGCTGCTCTGGGAACTCACACACACCTGGGAGGGAAGACACAAGGTGACATCATGACAGACAGTCAGGGGAATCCCATAAATACACTACTAGGTGGCAGTCCAACCAGGCAACCAGGCCAGTCACAGACAGACAACCAATTCCCCAGAGTCATCCAGGACACATTTATTGACATAACCATTACTCAATGTCCCCATGAGAGTCACATCACTCACTGTCATGGGTCCTCATACTCTACAGTACCAGTTACAGAAAGTAACACATACTGAGAGTATTACTACAGAATTAACTCTGCATTAATGGTGTCAATAAAGGGAATTAGAATGTGTGACAGACATACAGCAAAGGAAATAGCTCTTAGTAAAAGAGGTTACAGTTGGAGCAGACTGAGTACAATATTTATTTCGCTACAGCAGTACAGAGCTAGGGGAATATAAAACTGTGTCTGGGATACTAATGAAAACCAGCTCTTTCAGTTGGGTTGGCAGTTGGTCCACGGGGTATGCGCACACGCACATGCAGGGTTGGGGAGTAATAGATTACGTGTAATGCGTTACGTTAGCAGAAAGAATATTGTAATCGGATTACAGATACTTTTTTAAAAGTAGATGATTACTTAAAAATTCAGAAAGGGTGTTTGCGATTTTATTTTATTTTTTTACACCTTTCTGTTTTCTCAATGACATTAAATGTATTTGTTTGTTCCGCCTGAGGGAGTCTGACCACAAATCAAAGACCACTATGAAGACACACCAAATGCGTTTGATGGATTGCGGGAAAAGAGCAGGAATAGGATTTTGTAGACTACAGTCCAAGCTATATCTTCCAATGGTGCGACTGCTGTCGGCATCCAAAGATTCTTCAACTTGAATAAACACTTGGAGGTAAGGACATTCTACATTTTCATTTAGTAGAGGCTCTTTTTTTGTTTAAATGTTTGGAGGACAGCTTTTCCATTTCCTTCTACACACGACACTTATTTTTTTACTTAGCGGAGGCTCTTAACCAGAGCAATTTACAGGAGCATTGCTCAAGGGCACACGGACAGATTTTTCACCTAGTTGGCTCGGAGATTCGAACCGGCGACTTTCTGGTTACCAGCCCAACCCTCTTAACCACTAGGCTACCTGCCGCACAACAGCAGTGGTGTAGCCTATGGGCGATACGGAAATCACTTAGGCCAATTATAGGCTACATAGCGCATTGATGTGAATCACACTGCCGCTCTCTCATTTAGCTATTTGCGCCTTACAGCTTGTGGTTGTTGTGGATGGCTGTTCCCAAATGTATATGTGTATTTTAAAGAAGTTTGCACTGCCTATCAATCATTGTTTTCGTGACATGGGGTGTATTCATTAAGAAAAATGTTTACCGTTTAAGAACCAAACAGAAGCAAACAGAGCAAGTCAACATTTTCTATTTGGACAAATTCAGGTAGGTCCCTCCTCGTTTCGTTCAGTTTGCTTCCGTTCAAAAAACGTTTTGGAACAGAATGGGCGTAAAGAATATGCCCCCAGTGGACAGCCAGTAAGCCTATAAAATGCGCTCTTGCAACAGCTGCATAGTGCGGCTACCAGCCTACGGCGTAAAAGTTTGAGGGAGTTCCTTCCTTCCTCCCCCGTAGTATTGTCCTCCATACCGTCAAAAACAAGTTTCATTTAAGAAGACCACGAATGTGGCTTTTATTGCTCAATCAAATTTGTGCAACAACCAAAAAAATGTCCATAGGCGTAACGGACACATGTTCAAACTTGCGTACTTTAGATAGATTTAAACAGCTGCAAATTATTGACGTATCAGTATCGACAACAGAAGTAGGCTTATAGCAAATGCAGCATGTGGCATACATTTTTCACATGCAAAAAGCACTTTTTGGTAGTGCTCAAAGCATACCATTCCGACAGCAGCATTTTTTTTTTCAACTCGAAGCAATGAGCCCAATTAGTCCTCCATGACAACAAAATCATAAACAACAGAGTAGGCTAAATAATATTTAGTTTTTGGGTTATGCTCAGGTAAAAAACATTTGTCTAGTCTAGATTTTCAAGTCCTATTCTTGAAGATGAAGTATTAAATTCATTGGAATGACTATAAGTCTGACACAGTTTTTTTTAAATGTAAAGATATAGCCTAATCATATTATTACTATTATCTGCAGTAGAAAGCAATGTATTAGAAGAAGCCTACATAAACAACCCATAAAGTAAAATGCAACATCCATTTAAGGCCAGCCATGTAAACTCTAACAATGATTTATCCTGCAATAGATGTCGTTCAATTGGTAATATACATTTTTGTCTTCTTCTAATGCCTCTTAACCTCCTAGGGCTTAGTGGTCACATACGTGGACAGCACTTTTTAGCTCTTATGTCCACAATTGTGTAGAAGTTCTGTCATATTTCATGGCTTATTCTGATTTAGATATTTATAAAAGCCTTGTATATTTGTCATGACATGCAAATTTGAAAAAAAAAAGTGTAAAACTAGCAACTTTGTAGGTCGCTAAACATGAAGTACACGTAAGTGTACTTATGGACTGAGGCTCCTCGAAACAGCTAATATGCTTGTAAACATGCACACACGTAAAATGGGAAAAAAGCTAGCTCTGATGCAGCTAAAAAGCTGTACATGGTCCCAATGAAATAAATAACAATTAAATCACTAAATACATACATACATACTTAAATTAGTTGTGTTGAAAATGTTAGCCTAATGCAATTCGGACCATGAATCCACATATGTGGACATCATTTTTCTCTAAAAGTACATCATATCAAAAGATGATACTTAGTTTTTATTCTAATTAGGTTCCAATAAGCCCAAATAGCAAAGAGAAATAAAAAATGCATGTAAAAAAACAGCTTGGGCCTTAAGAGGTTAAGCAGATTGATGTTTATTGGGATGAGCCTTGTCCTTGAGGCAGAACTGAGCAATTTCCCCCAGATGGGCCAGCTGCAAAGTCAGAATTGGCTATATTGTAAAAAATATATGAAAACAGAAATGTAATTTAGAGTTAGGGTTAGGCATTAGGGTTAGCAGTGTGGTTAAGGTTAGGGTTAAGTTTAAAATCAGATGTTATGACTTTGTGGCTGTGCCAGCTAGTTACCACTCTGCAGAGCTGCCTCCAGAACAAGACTAATGACGAAAAACGCTAAACTGCGCCTCTTAAGGGGAACGTCATCTAAAAGTACCTGAAAGTAATCCGATTACTTTACTGAGTTTGGGCATTCCAAAAGAAACGTTACTGATTACAATTGTGGACAGGTAACTAGTAACTGTAACGAATTACATTTAGAAAGTAACCTACCCAGCCCTGCGCCACACACACGCACACAGTGAGCCAGGCAGGCAGCCCAGGAGACAGAGCTCCTCTCCTCTTTCCTGTGGGGTGAGCAGTCTCCACCAGTGAGAGAGAGCCAGGGGCGGACCTGCCTCTCTCTCCTCCCCTCCTCCTCCTCTCTTTCCTTTCCTCTCCTCCCTCCAGCCTCTCCTTGCAGGTGCACACACACTGCTTTCACTCTCTCTCACAGCACACAGGGGAAAGAGGCAGGAAGCCACAGGAGGAAGAGAGCAGAATTGGGCCAAGTGAAAATGAAAGCCCTGGCTAGCTAGCAACCTCCAGCCCCCTCCCCTTCCAGGACCTGTGTGTGTGTGTGTGTGTGTTAGTGGTCTTTACTATTTATTCATCCCCACTTCATCATTAACAGATTAATTATATATCAGAGAATCTGTCCTGCACCCTTCACCCTCAGTCGAGCCCCCACCTATGACACACACATACACAACAGCTCGATCCGAGCCAGTTCCAAAGAGCACATTATGCAGCTTGCATAGGACACAGGGTCAGCCTCAGGCACAGGGACAACTCTGTGTGTGTGTGTGTGTGTGTGTGTGTGAGGCAGCTCTTGGGTACAGAAGCAGGAGCATGTTAACCAGAGTGTGTCGGGGGCCAGCAGAGTGTATTAACACTACCGCCCCACAGCAATCCTTCACACACACACCTCAGTGAGATGTAAATGACAAATCATAATTGACAAGTAAAAAAGTGAAACAAACGAACATTTGTGCAAATGTGCAAAGTTACTAAAT